GGGTGACAGAGAATTTCAATCTCTATCAGAATATATAATTACTTTTTTCCAAAAGATAATTGCTTAGGGATGAAAAATTTTAAAAACTAATTTTGGTGACAGTGACAAAATCAAGCCTGTGTGAATCTGGACATGAGGGTGCCTTCATTACACTCAAGTTTTTTTTGGTGATAAATATATTCAAACGAAAAGGCAAATATACAGACTGATAGAAAAATCCACGCGCTTTCAGAATATATCATTATTTTTTTTTTTAAATACGCTGCTATGATAATGATATCCCTAAAATACAGACTGCAGCTTATTGTTTCCAGGCGTATATATAAAACCTATCGAAATTATTTTTTTTACTGATTATATAGTTTGTCTCACCCTCTATCTATACTATTTATTTGAGATTTTTCAATTGATCTATTGTTGTCAAAATGATTGATCTTCGTAAATATGGCTTTTCTTTACTTGGACAAAATAAAAATTTGAAAAAAACTCATATAATAAAACATTTTGCACAGATCAACAGTTTACAATATTGTAATACGTTGCGAATTTGGTCTATCAGTCGAAGGTCGACCAGGAGCTGGTCGTCCAACATATTTTGATAGAAAAAATTTGAAGCGTATGCAACATGCTGCTGCAAATAGTGTTGGTGTCAGCCAAAGAAAATTAGCAACAAAATTTGGCGTCGCACAAATAACTATTCATTATAATTTGCAGAAAATATGTCTTAAATATTATAAACGTCAGAATGCACCAAAGTGTACAGAAAAACAACTTCGATAAATACCCAAAAAAATGTCGAAAAATTAGACGTCAACTTACAACAACACAGATTCATTATTGTCGATGACGAAAAATATTTTACCTTCTCAAATGATGATATGCCACGAAATATGGGTTTTTATTCGTTTGATAAAGAACATGCTCCATATAACGTGAAATACAAAATAAAAGAAAAATACGCAAAAAAAAGGTGTTAGTCTGATTAGCTTTATCAGCATAAGGTATCTAAACAAGTAACACTAATCGACAGTCGATTAGCTTAACCCTAGACTGAGATAGTTGTCTAAAAACAGATGTGCATCTGCGTCCGTCTGTCTCTGTAACCTTCTTAGGGCAATCCAAAAGTTCTGTCGTCGTTATCTTTTTTTCTTATAGAAAGCTTGAAAAAAATTTCTGTTTTTATGAACAGATAGAGCGTCTTTCGTTCTATGTTTCTATGCTATTTGATCATAATTCAACTAATATCATAATAATAAAATTTCTATAAGAACTGTTTTTATTGAAAACTAGCTGGTGGCATTAGATCTTAACGGGTCGGGCACTTTTGCATTTCACTTTATTATAACTTAATACGTTGTATTAAAAAAAACAAAATATGCCACAAGATGCAGCGTGGAAAGCTCTACAAATTACATAATATCACTTATTTCATAGTTGCACTTTTTGTTTTCAAAAAGGGACAAAACTCTGAGCGTGCAAATTTCGACGCTTCGCAAACGAAATTTTTTTGGTAAAAAACGACTTCGTCTTTTCTTATCTCATCTTATTATTATCTAATATGTTTTATTTAAAAACAATACACTACAAGATGCAGCGTGAAAAGCTCTATAACTTACAAAGAACAGTTATAAAAAGATGAGATAGGAAAAACGAAGTCGTCTTTTATCAAAAAAAATTTCTTTTACGCAGCGTCGAAATTTGCACGCTCAGAGTTTTGTCCATTTTGAAAACAAAAAGTGAAACTATAAAATAAGTGATCTTATGTAATTTGTAGAGCTTTTCACGCTGCATCTTGTGGTATGTGTTGCTTTTTAATACAACGTATTAAGTGATGATAAAATGAAATACAAAAGTGCCCCATTTTTTATGCCACACCCGTTATGATCTAATATACCACCAGCTAGCTTTCAACAAAAACAGTTCTTATCGAAATTGTATTATTATGATATTAGTTGAATAATGATCAAATAGCATAGAAACATAGAACGAAATACGCTCTATCTGTTCATAAAAACAGAAAATTCGTTCAAGCTTTCTATAAGAAAAAAAGATAACGACGACAGAACTTTTGGATTCCCTAAGTAGTAACTACCAGATGGGCCAAAAGTACGGAAAAATAGTAGGGTGTGGGTATGGGTGTGGGGTGTAGATGCCAGTATGAGTGTGGGTGATGGCTACCTATTGATCCACACCCACACTCACATCCGCATTGGCGCATAATGCGTTGTATCTAAAGAATTCAAATCGTTTTATATCTTTCTAAACTCTGAAGTATTTTATTTTAAAAAAAGCATGATGTTGTCTGAAAATGTTATATTTCAAAAATATAAATTCTCTCAAGTGATATAGAACATCGGAGAGTTGACAATAACAACAAGACATCATTTTCAAACATAAAAACCTACCCGTTCCAATTATCGGCTCATACATACTAAACCTGCAACTGGAATTCAACTTAAATTGCACGGTCCAAAAAGTCTAACGGCAGAGGTCTCGTTCAGTGTGGACTCACAGAAAGCACTAGTACGTAGGAAAATAAATATAAATTATTATTTTTCGTTTATTCTTATTGTCACTATATTTTTTCTAGTATTTTTTCTGAAGAACACACATCTGAAACCAAAACAAAAAAGACTTGAATATCATAGAGTAATCTATAGACCCCGGAAGCATTAACTAGGGAGTCAAGACGAGAAGTAAATTGTAGAATAACGGTGTATTTACGACCGTAAACAAACTGTAATTACACCGTATACTAGTCGTTTACGGTCTTCAAACGATGCCATAACGTCGTCCGTTTTGATCAACCTGGACAGGTTTCACACTAGTGACATGACTATAGACCGTTGAGAAACGAATGATACATGTTTGTTTTTGATAAATTGAATAGAATAAATATTTGCTGGTAGGATGGTCGATTGGTGGAATTATAAATTATGATCGATATTATCACACAGAATCTATGTTAACAAATGGAAAAGTGTTGGTTGCTGGTGGATATTCTTCCTCTCTTGCTGCCTTAAGTACTGCTGAGTTGTATGATCCAGCAACATGGATGTGAACAGTTACCGGAAGTATGAGTTATACTCGATATATTCACTCAGCATCCGTGTTAACAAATGGAAAAGTATTGGTTGTTGGGGAATATTCTTCATCTCTTGGTGCCTTAAATACTGCTGAGTTGTATGATCCATCAGCAGGCGTGTGGACACTTACCGGAAGTACAAGTTACACTCGATATTTTCACACAGCGTCTATGTTAGCAAGCAGAAAGGTATTGATCGCAGGTGGATATTCTACCAGTAATAGTTATTTAAGTAGTGCTGAGTTGTATGATCCATCAACAGGTCTGTGGACAGTTACTGGGAGTATGAGTTATACTCGATATTTTCACACAGCATCTGTGTTAACTAGTGGCAAAATATTAGTTGCTGCTGGATATGATGTCACTAGTGGTATTCTAAATAGTGCTGAATTGTATAATTCATCCACATGTGCGTGGACAATCACTGCTAGTTTGAGTTATGGTCGACATGCTCACACTGCATGTGTGCTAACGAATGGAAAAGTATTAGTTGCAGGTGGAGTCGGAATTAGCTCTTCGGAGCTGTATCAATCATAACAAATAATTCCAGAATGAAAATTGTTTTTCAAGAATACAATTTTCTGTGAGAACTATTTAACAATAGAATTATTTTAGTTTACTAATGATTACATTTTCCTCTTCTTCTCAATTACAAATGATTTGTATTTTGCCTTCATTTTCTTCATAATAATAAATTGAATTTGTTTCTTTGTTCTTCAGAAACACTTTATTGTTATAGAAACTTCTTTTTGGCGAAATATATTTTCAGACAAAGTATTGTTTTGAAATGAGACTAATGCATTTAGTTCAAATTATTTGAATCCAAATATTTACCTGTTGATGTGAGTGTGGGCATTCCATCATCCATCCCGATCCATACAGACATATACCCACATTCAACCATAAGTAATTGTTTATCAATATTATTAATATAACAATTAATAGTCACTTGATGTATTCTGTACATTTAAGTGGACCTGAAAAAGATACATGTCGACAAAATTCACAAATAAATATTATTGTTGTGATTTCAGTTGCAGATAAAATATTTTGGGACATGAAACAGCAATTCAAAATACAGCGCCGAGTTGTTTTTCTTAATTCAACTAGATGATGCACCTATCAATAACTGACACATCAAATTTTTCTCGTCATGTTCATTTTGCTATTGGGTGTGGGTGTGGGTTCAGAAGTGCATGGGTGTCGTCATCAATCTTACCCAATCAGACACACCCACACCCATCAGTTTTTGAAGAATTAGTAACAATAGCTACATTGTGTTCCACTTGTTAATCCTGCAGAGATTTCTCTAGCAGCTATTTTGCTCAGAATGATTCTATATAACATATTTATACAAAATATGACCAATCCTTATTATGCTACACAACTTGATTTAGAATAATTCAAACCATCAAAATGTTCTTATCAAGAAGGATTAAAACATCAACCTCATAAATTATGGGAAGCATTTATTAAATTTGAATTTAATTCTGCTCATTCGACATTACAAGAATTTACAGTAACACTTTCATCAGTAGCTTTAGTTTTTACTATTACATTGATAGGGTGTGGGTGAAAAAAGATCAAATCCTCACCCAAAATGAAAAGCAGGGAAGTAACGTTATACAATTTAGAGTTACTATTACTTATTGTTTTTTTAATTTCTTGCCTAACGTGAGATAGTTTTATAATACTAGGTGAAATCTCTATTATTTGAAGCATCTGAAGATAACAATAATCATGCTGACTTTGTCCAGCATACATGCTAATTTGAGGTGATAGATAGACTAGAAAGAATTGATCAATCACAATACAGTCACTATTCTCGAACCGGCTTCTATCATGCTGCTTAGAGATGTGGACAGATTTCTATCTTTACCACAACACACTCTACATCTGAGTCAATTGTTGATAATTCTATGGTATTGATGGTAACTTGAAGGAAATCAGTGTCAAGACTGATTAAAACCATGATTTGACAGCGTTCTATGTGCAATTCGGGAAAATGCACTCGATTGGTTCCAAATTCAGTACTGATCGAATCGGTAAGTGAAATGAAAATCAGCAACAATTAAAGAACTTCAATCATGATGAGCGCATCAATATTTTGAAATGTTGACGAAGCTCTTGTGAATGAATGAAAGTGCAAAATTTTACAAATCTATTCGAATGAGAAGAAAGTTAATCGCATTGGATAGTTACAATGAGAAAATTGCTATATTTATCGAAAATCGATATCCTGTTTTAAGAATCATTTCAAAATGAAAAAAACAAACAAAAATTGCAAGAATTGATAAAAAGACAATTAATGTTGCACAGATTGTTCTTACTCATATCATAAGAACGAAGATTGATTCTGCTCTTTTCGATTTTATTTTCACATTGTTCAACTTCCTTTGATTTATCTATTTACTTACGCATATAAGTTACATTCAAGTGAACACAGTATCAGGACGTCACTACTGTGAAAAACGAATGTATTATTGCAGCTTTTGTTATTGACAGTTGTGGCAAAGCTATACCGACCGCGCTACTTATGATGCCTCTAGCACATAAGAATACACGCGTGTAGAAAATTATCAATTGAAAAAGTAGAAACAAAAAAAAAGAGTACTGTATTGATATTTACATATATCTTATCAAATGATAGTGATTTTTAATAAACGAACAGCAAAATATATGAAAGGAATATATAGAAAGAATGAGATAACGAAAAGGTTAAAAAAAAAAGAATATTAATTTACATGAAGAACGTGTTTAGCTGTCGAAACAATCATTGTATAAAAAATTGATGAAGTGTTGATCTTTTCGTATAAATAACATGTTGGTATACTTTTAATTTGCGATTATTGTTAATGTTTGTCTAATTTTGGTAAGATACAAATATGAAGAATAAATTTATATATATAGATGTATATTTGTTTTTTGCGTGATATATTTATACTCACAATCGTTAGCTGTATTATACTTCCTCACTATATTCTAACTTTATAGATGTCTGCTACACTGACAGTAGCTTCATCAGATGGTTGCATTTAGCCAATCATATTTCATGTCTGATGTCCATATAGAGTATACCATTGGTGCATTCACCGTCCTGATGTATCAAACTGTCAGGAGCAAGTGGTTGAATGATTTTCTGTTGGAGAAGAAAAATCAGCTACGTAGATTAACATTGGAGATATTAATACAAAATCCCACAGCTTAAAAAAAAACAAAGCGGATTTAATATAGAATGATTTTCAAAACCTAGCTAAATATTTTGCAATTATCTTAGGACCATTTCATATTATTGTTGTTTTGTGTTCAGTAAAAATTTGACTAAATTAGGATAAAAATCATCAAATAATTTCGTTATTTGGTGATTTCGCTATCCCATGAAAACCAGTTCCACTACAATATAAAATATTATAGCAAACAGTAGTAAAAATAAAGTTAAAAGACAAGGTATGGAACAGTTCCATGGAAATAATAAAGTCATCATATGTATCTGACAGATGTTCTTTTTCTTCGATGATATCCATATCTTGTTTTCATTGAAACTGAGCTACATCATTGATATTTATGTCAAATAAAGTCATATAACTGTATTGCTCGATCGTGTTGCTCTATTTAGATCATTATAGTGATGCTCATACAATTATATTTACTCTTGATTTTACAAATACTTTCATGTTTTGCTACCGAAGCTAAGCCAAAATTAACTTTTGATGAATTTTTTGATTATACTACGTTTCCATTCTTGAAATTTTCTCCAACTGGTCAACATTTGCTCATTCAAACAAGACATCCATCATGGAATGCTAGTGCTTATGAGAATACTTTGTGGCTTTATGACATACAAAATCAAACAAAAAAATTAATTACAACAAATCTTCATCAATCAATCAAACCACAATGGTCACCGAGTGGTGACTACATTGCATTAATACCAAAAGCTCATGCTTTGGTAAATAAGACCAATGATCAGCAATCAGAACAATATATTTATTTATATTCTCTTATATCACATGAATTATTTCCTATTCAAATTGACAAAGATATTCTATTAGCTTTTACATGGTCTAATAATGATTCATCTGTTTACATAGCTGTCATTGATTTATGGTCAATAGATAAAGAAAATGAATTATATAAAGATGAATGGAAAGATGTTATTCAATATCGACAACATGTAGTGCGTAGTAACAGTACAATCTATCGTATTGATCTCAATTTAAACAATCTCTCATTACCTGTGGAAAGAAATATTGTTCGTAATGTATCCTTTCTTATTAATCAGTTATTATATGTTTCCTATGAAGAGCAACTCATCGTCTCATCCATGTCGAAACTTGTCGAAAATCTAAATGAATTTGAACTATATTCGATTGATCTTCGAAATACATCGAAATTGTCAAAATTAACAAATAATGAAGCAATCGAAATAGAATTACAGTTATCGATTGATGGTCATCATCTCCTTTTTCTTACATTCAGTCTTAGTTCTAATAAAGGAAAATTTAACGATACACAATATCGTCTTTATTCATTAAACTTAATGAATGAACAACTAACACGTTTAGGAGAAACATTTCATGGTAGTATCAATGGATACACAATAAAGCATGATTCTGGTGTTTATATACTCGGACAATTAGGAACAGAAATACAAATTTATACAGAACAATCATCAACGAAAGATTTAATTCATCACCATGGATGGAATGGAACATATGAATCGATTGTATCATCAAATAAGAATGGATCAATTGCATTTGTTTATTCATCATTCGAAAAACCTATGAAAGTTTATTTCATTAACAATATTGATCAATTGAAATCAGCACAAGCAATAACCAATGAAAATGACTTGTTTACTCGAAGAAATTTACCTCAAACAAAAATATACAATTGGATAAATGAAGATGATCATCGAGTGATCGAAGGAATCCTACATTATCCACCTGAAATGTTTGAATCTAAAAATTTATCCCTGTTAGTGCTTATTCATGGAGGTCCATATTGGGCTAGTCTAAATAGACTTGAGCTGGCTTGGCATGATTGGGCTTCATTGGCAGCTTCAGAAGGTTGGCTGGTATTAGAACCTAACTATCGAGGATCAACAGGCTATGGTGATCAATTTCTCAATGAAATTCGTTATAGACCACTATCTCGACCAGGAAAAGATATTCTTTGTGGAGTTGATCGATTGATTAAAGATGGCATTGTTAATCCACATAGGCTTGTCGTTGGTGGTTATAGTTATGGTGGTTTCTTAACAAATTGGTTAATTACGCAGACTAGACGTTTTAATGCTGCTCTGTCAGGTGCTGGCGTTGTTGATTATGCTTCAGCATGGGGTATGATGGATATGCCTCTACCGCTCAGCTACTTGTTCGGAGGGTTTCCATGGGAAGTACCAAATATTTATCAAAATGAAGCACCTATTTATCAATTAGATAGAATACATACACCTACACACATCATCACTGGTCAAAATGATAATCGAGTTCCTACATCTCAAAGTTATATATTAGAACGAGGACTTCATTATCTTGGTATACCAGTTAAATTAATTATTTTTCCAAAGGAAGGACACTCAGTGACTGGAAATCCTTGGTATGGAAAAATAAAAGTTCGAGAAGAATTGAAGTGGTTACTAAAATATGGTAATCAATCACTGAACAACAATGAGCTATCTAGTAACAGTGAAAAGTCGAAATTCGCTTATTCTTTACAATTATATATGTTCTTGTTTTCGATTGTCAAAATAAAGAAGACGTAACTTTTATCGATTTTGGGTGTATATCGGTGCAGATTCACACTTAATTCAATCACAGTGTGTCCAGATTATGTAGCCGGATGACCATTCACTCAGACGTGAAGTTCTTATATAGAAAAAGAAGCAAACCTTGCTTGTTTTAAAAGAACATCTTACTAAGATTAGCAAGGCAAGACATGTATAAAAGCTTGCCAGCGCAGTTCGTTTGGGGCTAGAGTGTGGAACTCACATAGATTCTTTAGCTTCATAATAGTAATAGACAATAAAGAAGGGTGGGGTGTGGGGTGTAGATGTCGCCTAACAGAAGTGCTACACCTACATCATCACAGACATACTGGACATCTTAAATTTGAATCAACAGTTGTGTCTATGGTTGATCTAAATATGAAATATGAATTATAATCGGCTCGGAAAAATAAGAATATAACAAATAAATATTCTTAAACGATCTAAACTTCATCATTGTGTGAAGAAAAGAAAACGCAAATCGGAGATTTGTATGTTTCAATCTACTTAAAATCCATCAATCACATTAGATATTGTTTCTAAATGAGTCGCACATTTAACGAGTTGTAAATTCTTTTTTTTCTAACGAAAACCTTCATAAATATCATGATGTTCATGTTGAATACGACTACAAATGATTTATGAACTAAATTCATCAAAAGAACAAGAATTATTCTGTATAATGGTTCTGAGAATTGTGAAATTAAAACGCACTGTCTATTTTTTTTTATTGACGTGTGTTACAAAGAATGACATAGAAAAGGTTGAAAGAAAAACATTAAACGATAGTCACGTCGAAAAAAATGTCAAGAATGCTAGTATAAGATAGTTTAATCTTTTCAGATGTAAATACCTTCGCCGATGTTTTGAGAAAGAAGAATTTTTTTAAAATCATACAGAAGTAGAACTCATCGAGTCCGAAAATTCCTGCGTCCAACTGATTAAAATTTCTTGGGCCCAAACCCAGATCCGTTCGATCAAAATTGTTGGATTCGAATCTTGTTGGTTAATCTTTTGTGGCTAGAGCTCATCTAATCCACAATTTTTCTGGATTCGAATCCCTTTGACTAAAAAATTTCAGATCCGGATTCGATAGATCCTGTATAGAAGTGATTTTGTAGAGAATAGAAAAAATTAAAAAAGTGACATTAAAGTAAGGATGCATGTTAACTATTAAGATTCATTTGTTTTGCTTTGTTACAGTTAATGACAAAGCATCCAATAATTAATTAAGATCAATTTCATTATTTGTAAAGCATTCATTTACAGTATTAATACGTTGTTTTGTTGAATTAATTAATGCCGTTTTTTAACGGTCACGAGCACCAGCATCGATTGGTAATAACATGTGTCTGGATCTGGATTGAGCTTCTTCATCTTGACGACACAACCTAACTGTAAAATGCCTATTTACGCTATTTTCAATTTTTTTACGTTCGATATTTCTTCTTTCGAAGTTATTTTTGCGACCTTTTTTATGATCGACATTTTTTCTGAACCTTTTTAGTTTTGACATTTTTTTTGTTTCTGACTTTCCTATGTATACGGTTATAAAGACTGAAAAAATTTCATTCGTAAACATTTTCATATTAAATACTTTCTTTTCATCATGAAAAGAAAGTTAAAACTATCCGCCTTCTTATTTTATTTTTTTTGCGTGTGTTAAGTGCACAAAATCATATTTGATATTGATAGAGCTCATTGAAATTTAATTGAAAATAGTGGCTCTCATTGAAAAATGGGACGCTATTTGTGATCGAAAGTAAATTTTTAATCTATTTCGTTTACCACATGTTATTCTTCTTTGAATTCTGTAAAGATTGATTTGATATTCCATTGAAAGCTTCTATTTCAATGAGAAGGAGTCTCGATCTAATTAATAAAATATAAATGCAAATGTACATTACTATTTCGGGAGCAAATCTTGATATAATTCTTGTTTGTATAGAAGTTTGACATAAAAAAAATTTGAGCGTTTTCAACCCTTTTATTTCAATAAAAAAGTTGGAAAAAAAGGATGGCGAGTATCGATTTGATCGACAACCTTAGTCCCGAAGGACCAAATGTGATGCTTCTGTCTCATAACATTGAGTTGTGTTTAGCCATCGATCGCGGCTCGTCGTTCTTCTATATGAATTATGTTCTATTCAAAGTGCAACAAGTTATAGGTTGTGCAATTCTCGTTTTTACTTGTCTATGTGTCAACACTGAGTGTAGGTATTGCGAAAGTACAAAAATATTCTTTGATAATAATCTCTACAGCAACTAAAATACCAGAGTCATCACACTATCACGATTTAAAACGTTTGTCTAGAGACAATTAAATATTTTAGTCATGAGTTTATGCAGTAGAGAATTCAATACTGTACAAAATTGTTATGTTTGCTTCAAAATCTGAGAAAGTGTACATATTTCTTTGACCTTCATTAGTAATCCAGTTCAGTTATGATTGTGCTTTTTTATTTTACAAAAAATGTTGAGAAGATGATATTGAATCAAGCATGGGCTACAATTTTGGTCGTCTCCCTTTCGTTTTGGTGATATCAAGATATTTCGCGCTACTAAGTTTTTTTTCACCGTGATTTCTTCGAATAATTCAAAAACCCACATCAGAGGTTACATAATTTTGATGTCGAATACTGCAGCATAGTGTGATCTTCTTTCAAAAGTTTGCGCTGAGGGTGTGAGTGTATGAAACAAAGACTTCTGCAGACATCCATACCTACACCCTTCTTGATATCGTTATGCGAATCACCCAGGTGCCCCGCATGGGCGAATTACTGTCTGACCTGCATATCTGTCAACGTTTTTAACGGCTGTTTATGATCTGCCAGCATTTCAGATTTGGTTCGTAGTAGTGTAGGTATTAGATTTAGCAACTTAAATTACGACCTTCTTGTTATGCTATCGTCATCCTCAAAAGTGCCTTCCAGCAATCTTAGAATCTCATATTTTACCATGAGATAGCACTGTTCTAGTGAAAGTTCCTATACCATGATTCTTAGTATTCTCATTAAAAAGATTCTTATTCGAAGTTATTGGATTCCTGCTTCGGAAGAGTAATGTCTCCAAAACCTGCATTAATAAACTATCAATTCCCTGTCCTGAATCTAGGAAATTTATCAAATACGAGGTAGAAACGATCTGTCTCACATAGAGATGGTAGAACTTCATCGTCGACGAGAAACCACGTGGACGTGGGCTGTGACTATGAAAGCATGTAACCTTAAATGCACATCCAAACTAAGAAAATCTTTCCTCCATCTAAGATCAGTCCTCTAGCATTCTTGATATATCTTTTAGCAAAAGGACAACGCTTTTAACGATTCAGATCATTCCTAAGGATGTAGGTGTGAGTGTGAGTGCCGGTGTGTTTCTCGGTGTACGAATGCGTGTGCATATGCGTTTGCCCTAAAGCACAGTCACGCCTACACCCACACCACACCCTAAACCTTGAACACCTGTACATTCAGGCATTGTCACCTGCATTCATCTCACACCAGCATCCACACTACCCCCTTCACCCAAAAGGCGATATTGATCTATTGAAAACGCTCGAAGTTATCATATGGATGGTTTTAATTTACCAACCAATCAATATGGTTGTGTAGATAAGAATTTTTATTTTTATGTCAATCTCCGGGAGAACATGGAAATCAAAATACTTATATATTGAGATATAATTAGTTTTACATTGATAATAATCGAAATACAAATGCAATGGTTATTCACAGCTTTTCGTATTTAATCACAACTTGATTATTTTCATCAACCGCGTAGATATTAAGATTCGAGTCTAACGTAACATCGTCTGGTTGGCCAAGTGTCGGCGTACTATCAGCACCGCTGACTACAACCGTACCAACCGTTGAATTAGCGCAATACATTACCACTCGACTATTGTCGCTGTCAGCAACGTACAAGTTTCCATATGAATCGTGCCTCATGCATTTTGGGGCTTTAAGCAATGAAGGAGTGACATTGACATGAGTAAGAGTTACTCTATGTGATGATGCACCAAAAGTCCATAAATAGACAGGAATTGTATCTTCGGAGCTAACATAGGCCTCATTGGATGAGTAAAGTGATAGTAAACTTCCATAGAAGCTAGGAGTCGACGCGGATCCAATGACAATGGTACCGTTTGTTGCATTCGGAACCCATTTCATAACTCGTTTATTGTTTCCATCAATAATATAAAGATTTAAGTCATCATCGATATCTACGCCTAAAGGATTATTGGGACGATCGAGTGCTGATGAGCTAACACCATTTTTTCCTGCAACAGTAGTGCCATTGCTGAATTCTGGAGGATAGAGTATTACTCGATTGTTATTATGACTGGATAAATAGATATATCCATTCTTGTCAAAAGTAAAAGCCTCTGGATGATCACCATCAACAGTAGTATCGATCACTGTGACACCATTGGCTGCCCCTTGGATTCATTGTTGGATGCGGTTGTTGTGATGATCGCATACATGCAATGTACCATTTGCATCGATGTAGAGCAATGTAGGTTCCCGAAATTGACTAGCACTCAAGCCACGTGAACCATCACCCGTGACTCTTTTGCCAGTCTGATTCCAACGAAGACTCAGACCTTCAAAACGTAAACATACGTGTGACCATGGCAATAAAACATTGCTTACATGAATCATAGGCTGCTGTAGTCGTGGTTGATGTTGTCACTAGAAAATCAGACGGCAGCGCATGATTGTAAGATGCCCGCCATGGGAATTTCGAGTAAAACTTTTTTTGCCGTTTTTTTACATCATTTGATAGAGCGAGAGCTGCTGATCACGAAAATCTACTTTTTAGCCTTAACAAATGCTTCCTTCCGGTCGAAAAATACGAAATACTCAAAAGGTGTCGTTTTTCGAGAAAAAACACATCTTTTTAAAAATATGCAATATTTTCTATTTTGTTCTTTTTTTCGACTTCTAAAAATATTTTTTTCAGATTCAGCATCAAAAACTGAGTATATACGAGTTGTTAAATCGACTCTAGAGTCGAAACTCTATTGGTGGTGGCGCTTGGAATCGTGTGGAACGAGATATTTATGGGTCGATTTTCTAAACCCATCAAGTTTTTCTACGTAAGCGATAGAGCCAAATATCTTGTTTCATTCTATTTATCATATCACC